AGAGTTGGGCGGGGAGAAACATGATGAAGTTCAACAAGGGGAAGTGTAGAGTCTTGCATTTGGGGAAGAACAACACCATGCACCAGTAGAGCTTGGGGGCTGACCTGCTGGAGAGTAGTGCAGGAGAAAAGGACCTAGGGGTCCTGGTGGACAGGACAATGACCTTGAGCCAGCAACGTGCCCTTGTGGCTAAGAAGGTCAATGGCATCCTGGGGTGCATTAGAAAGGGTGTGGTTAGTCGGTCAAGAGAGGTTCTCCTCCCCCTCTATTCTGCCTTGGTGACGCCACATCTGGAGTATTGTGTCCAGTTCTGGGCCCCTCAGTTCAAGAAGGACAGGGAACTGCTTGAAAGAGTCCAGCGCAGAGCTACAAAGATGATGAAGGGAGTGGAACATCTCCCTGATGAGGAAAGGCTGAGGGAGCTGGGTCTCTTTAGCTTGGAAGAGACTGAGGGGGGACCTCATCAATGTTTACAAATATGTAAAGGGTGAGTGTCAGGACGATGGATCCAAACTTTTTTCAGTGATGACCAGTGATACGACAAGGGGCAATGGATGCAAACTGGAGCATAGGAGGTTCCATGTGAGTATCAGGAAGAACTTCTTTACTGTGAGAGTGACAGAGCACTGGAACAGGCTGCCCAGAGAGGTCGTGGAGTCTCCTTCACTGGAGACATTCAAAGCCCGCCTGGACAAGTTCCTGTGTGATGTACTCTAGGTGACCCTGCTCTGGCAGGGGGGGTTAGACTGGATGATCTTTCGAGGTCCCTTCCAACCCCTAGGATTCTGTGATTATAAAAGGTAGTGGCTCTTGCTGGTTCTTTGTCACTTGCTGTGGGCCGCTTGCTGAGGAACCACTTGCTGGGAACCGCCTGCTGCGAACCACCTGCTGGGAGCCACTTGTTGGGGAGCCAGACTAAAGTGTTGCAGTTGCCAGAGAAACGCTGCTTGCCATCGGCTACCTGTCTGCTGGAGGTTTGCTTGCTGTGGCTGATTGCTGTCAGGGATTTCACTACTTGGAGTACAAGGAGCTCGCTGGGAGATGTGCTGCCACGTCTCGCTGCGAGGGACCAAACTACCGCTGCAAATCAACTAAGGTGCGGTGCAGCCCTCCGCCTCTGCACATGAGGCGGTTAGCCATGCCGAAGGAGAGATTGTCCAGAT